TTTCAACGACCAAATTTCGGACGTTTGGCGACCAATATTTTGGTAGCCAAAAGTGACATTTCTTGTAGTGTATGATCATACAACTGTTTTACTTTCTTGTATATACAAATTGTAAGATGAGTCATGCTTAGGGGAGACGAATCGTGCGGCAACCTTAGTTTAGTGTAGACAATTCGTGTCGACCGAAGATGATTCGTGTCTTCGTTTTAAATATACTCATCTTCTTGACAATGACATTGGGGCTTGTAGCCACAATATATCATTATTATCTGGGCCATTGAGTTACTAGAATTGGATATTTTAATTACATGATATGAGATTAGTAGTGGATTCAAAATTCTAAGTCTCTTCATATTCTGATTACACTCTTTATTTGCACAATTGTTTTAGTTACATAAATAAAGTTTAAAATTGGAAATCAATTGCGTTGTGGTTTGAAACACCCAATACGTCTTAACTACAAGCTTGAGGTATTGATCAAAAAGATTATCGTGTTTAACGTATAGGCATGAACCAGCTCAAGTAGCACGAGTCGTTCACTCTAAACTAGGGTAGACTCATCTCTCGTAGTATGGCTTGTCTCACACTAACCATTGCATGGAAAGCATTCAACAATCATGGAAAAGTAAAATACTTGAAGAGAATAATGAAAAATATAGTTAAAAACTTCTTAGACACCATACAACTTGTTCAAACCATTACAATAATCAAAAACCAAAGAAAAACCCTATTTACTTGGCTAAGGTTTCATCAAAACCCTAGAAACTAGAGAACTAGCCACTCATGGAGGAGTGAGAAGAGGTAGAGGAAGAAGAAGCCATCATAAGAGACATCCTTCCAACTTCAAGTTCTTTCTCTTCAAACCTTAGCTTTTCTCTTCCTTCGAAAAATTTTAGTACCCTCTTTTAGTTTTTTTTTTTTTCCTTTCTTTTATACTTCTCAGCTTTTCAAAATAAATTTAAAAACATCAGGCATGCAAACTGAGGTACGGCAGCATGTGCGGGAAATGACACGTGCGGCAAAGGTCCCGTACGTACGGGAAAAACCCTTCGTACTTGCTATTTTTCCAGTGAACTTTAGGCTTCAGTGAAGTGGGTCGTCCATGTGGGAATGGGCCGCTGCACTTATGGGAGAGGCTTTTCTGGCTAAAATTCTGTGTTTTTGCTCATTTTGTACTTCAACCGCATCCAACCTGATTAACATTTAGCATAAAATAAAATGTACAAATTGAATGGATAATAAGGTTAAGAAATCTTAGTTATCGGCCTCAATAATATACAATTCGACCTCAAGCACAACCAAAAATAACTAATTATTGTAAACCGCACGTGCAATGGTAATCTATTCTTTTGTATTCAAAGTATGAGACGAGCCATACTACGAGAGACGAGTCATATTGCTACCTTAGTTTAGAGTGAACGACTTATGCTACTTGAGATGGTTCGTGTTTATACGATGAACGCACTAATCTTTTTAGTCAATACCTCAAGCCTGTAGTTGTAACATATTGGGTGTTTCAAACCATAGCTCCATCAAACGAAGTCCAAAAAATACCAAAAAATCATGACAATTACTAGGATGAAGAAACGAATCTACTGGTGTTCTCAACGTTCGTACGCTGATGTTCTCGACGTTCGTACGTTGATGATGTCATGCTGATGTCATTACAAAAAAGATGACGTCAGTAATGGCGTTATCTTGTAAATATGGTGAAACAAAGATCAAGATGATATGATACCAAGTTGGAGAATAAAATGTACAATATTAGGGTTAGAATGAGAGGATAGGGAATAGAGAATTGAGAAGAGAAAATACAGATTAGGGTTGTGTAACTACACACCCTTCACTATAAAAATGTATTTATATTAAAGAGAGAAAAATAGAAGATGACAATAGTACCCTAACTAACAAGACAATAAAAAATATCAACTCTAACAATATAAAATATCATTACATTAATTAAATTAATTTCATTGTGATTTTATGTCAGACATTATATTTCTAGAAGTGATTTACAAATACATGTAAGCGTTAGGAATGGCAACGGGCCGGACCGGGGCCGGGGATGACACTCCCCGTCTCCGATCCCCGAAGGTTAAAAAATCCCCGTCCCCGGCCCCGATCCTCGACGGGGAAGGCATCTCCTTCCCCGTCCCCGTCCCCTAACGGGGATCGGGTTTCCCCGACCCCGAAAAATCCCCGACAGGCTTATTCACAACACACACACTGATCTGTTCAACACACACACACACACACACACACAGATCTGTTCAACAAAAATATATATATATATATATATATATATATATGGACAACAATCTACAACAGATCTAGAATACACACACCCATACAACAATAGATCTAAAAAAAAATTAATTTGTATATATATGGACAACACATAGATCTATATATAGATTATTATTTCCAGAACCAAATACGGGGAACAATGGCAAGGAAGGCCACTATCACACACACACATACACACACACACATATATAGAGAGAAAGAGAGAGGAAAAGAGATGCACAGATCAGTGGCTTGGCTTGATAGTTCACGGATCACGATCTGTTAGATCGGTGGCTTCACGTCGGTGGCTTCACGGTGGTGGATCTGGATGATGATGATGATAACGAGGAGTGAGAGAATGAGAGAGAAATCACCGTGGATCTGGACGATGATGATGATGATAACGAGAAATGAGAGAATGAGAGAGAAATCAAAGTGAGTGAGTGAGTGAGGGAGAGGGAAAGTAAGAGGGAAAGGGAGAGGGACACGGAGAGTGAGAGGGAGGGAGATGAGAGACGCTGTGGTGAGTGAGAGGGAGAGGGACACAGAGAATGAGAGGGAGGGAGATGAGAGACGTGGTGGTGAGTGTGAGTGTGAGAGGGTTTGGTTTTTATATATATATATATATATAGAGGGCTAAAATAGTAATTTCACTTCAGGGACAAACTGGGACTGGGACGGGGACGGGGACGGGGACGGGTACGGGGCTGGGACACTTATCCTCGTCCCTGACCCAAAACTGATCGGGGATTAATTTTTGAATACCATCCCCGCCCCGTTAGAGAT